TGGGCTCAAGTATAGCAGGGATTGTGGGGCTGGCGCGGGATCGGGCAGTGTTTCATTCTGCTGTGCATGGGGTCACTATGAGTCGGAAACGACTCCACGGCACTGAAGTACAACAAAGTAGAGGGTCAGTGAAAACGGGGAAGACCTTCATAGAAATGGAATGACACAGCATCTGCAACAATGGGCTCAACCATGGCCAACGATTTTGAGGAAGGCACAGAGGACCGGGCAGTGTTGTACTTGCTATGTTGTACATAGGGTTGATATGAGTCAGAACTGCCTCAACTCTATGGTACCTAACAACAATAAATTTGCACAAAGAATGGAAAGAAATTAAAGGCCCATCTTATGAACGGAGGAAGTTTTTAAAACATATTTACTGAATACCTATTATGTGCCAGGTACTGGGGTCACGCCTAAGGGGGAAAGAAGTATAGAGTCCCTGCTCTCACGGAGTGTGTAGCTCATGAAGAGAAACCAACATTAATCAAATAGTTACACAAACAAATGTGACACTCAAAAGTAACTACTACAAAAAATGAGATAATTGGTGTTGCAAAATTTTTTATATAGAGAGGTGGCTCAGTTAAGTAAGTGAAAGAATACTACTAGAATATAAGCTCCTCAAGGTAAGGTTCTTTATATCCACTGTATCCACTGAGTTATTTGTTCACCTAATGCCTAGAACAGGTCTGAAACAGACTGGGCATTCAGTAGATAGCTGTTGACTGGATGAAGAACAAACACTTGAACTAAAACCTACAGGCAGTGAAGTGAAAAGCTGAAGGCAAGAGCATCTCCGGCAGAGAAAACAGTAAAGGCTTGACAGGAGGGAGTAGTAGGGCAGCGTCTAAGAAATGAAAAACAGAAAAGGAAAAGAATAGTGAGTGCCAGACCAGGCTGAAGAGATCCACAGAAACCTGACAAATCCAGCAAGAGAAGCCATGGAGGCAGAAAGGTGGCATGATTCTAAAGGGTCACTTTGGATGCTGTGTGAAGACAGAACTGAACAGAAAGAACAAAAGCAGGTGAGCGAGATCCATCAGGAGGCCACTGTTCAGGTGCCAGAAGCTTAGACTAGGGTGACAGCAGTGGAGTAGAGAGACTAGGGAATATTTAGGAGATTAAATTGACAGAAATTGGCAATAAATCAGTTCTAAGAGTTCAGTGGTGAAAGAAAGGTTTCAAGGATGACTGCTAGGTTTTTGGCCTGAGCAAGTAGGTGAACAACAGTGCTATATACTGAGAAAGGAAAGACCTGAGGCAATAGACTTAAATGCATAGTGTATACAAGATGATACCAGACAGAGCTGAGCAAACTATGGCCAGTCAAAGGCAAAATCCAACCTAGGCCCTAAGCGCCATAAGCTAACGGTGTCTACATTTTTAAAAGGGTTATAAAACAAAAAGAAGAAAAAAAAAGAGGAGGTGAAGAAGGAAGGGAAACAAGGAAAAGGGAACTAAAAGGTAGGGGAGGGGAGGGAAAAGAAAACTGCAGAACAGAGAATGGCCAACAAAGCCTATAATGATTACTATCTAGCCCCTCACAGAAAAAGTTTGGTGGTTCCTGCCATACACTACCTGGACCCCAGATCCCTTTAGGATCTCTTCTCCTATTTCCTCACTCCAATCACACTAGCCTTAAAGCTGGTCCTTGAACACAACACTGAAACCTACTTCAAGGCCTTTCCTCTGTCTTTTTCCTTACTTGGAAGCCTAAACCAATATACATGATTCATTCATGAAAGTTTACCTCCTTAATTAAGCACCATCTTCACAGTAAGAGCCACCACAGCAACCTTATTTAAAATTGTAACCTCCTACCCATACTCCTCATGCCCTTTTATCCTGATTTCTTTTTTCCATAGCATTTACAACTAATTAATTTCTCCCACTAGAAACGTAAGCACCATGAGCACAGGGCGTTTTGTTTTGGTCATCAATTGTATTCTCAGAGGCTAGCATGGTACATATAATGCATACAGCGACTACTTAACAGATATTTCTTGAATGAATTAATGAATGAATGTCTATTAGGCAGTTGGATAAACATATCTAGAGCTCAAAGGAGAGACCTAAATTGAAGACACACATTGTGTCACCTGTACATAGACTAAAATATAATGTGTGGGCTTGTATGGGGCTATACTTGAGAAAATGTAGGATAAACAGGGCCTACGACCAAAGTTTGAAAAACTCCATCATTAATGGCCAAGTAGATAAGGATGAGTCTGCAAATGAAAGGAACAAATAGAAGTGAAAATAGAACCAGGAGAGTATTTTAAGGATAATGTTGAATGCTGGCAAGTTAAGTGAGAAGACTGAAAAATGTCCATTACTAAATGTCACTAAATGTGACTTAGACATTACTGGTGACTTTAGCAACAGTCAATTCAGACAATTTGCTGAGGCTTACTATACGTTAGAGTGTATACAAAATACTGGGCAGAAAGCCACAAAGACATGCATGGTTTGGGCCTTCATGAACTTTATAGAGTAGAATATAGGCATTAAATTAGGTCATTACAAGTATGATGAATACCATGAAAGAAGAAACCATAGTGTCCTAAGGAAGCATGTAACAGAGTGAATTAATCTAATTTGGGAGTTTAAACAAATTTAATTGAACTATAATTTATTACTACCATCCTCAAAGAAGGCACTTTTTTGTATTTTAATGGCAGCTCAGGCTCAAATTAACTTGACAAAAGCTTTCACTGTATGTTCTTCTATGGCTGCTGTATCCTATGTGAGAATTTCAACCTTTCTTTAAAGATGTTTTGAAAAACAAGATCTGTCTCTAAATGCACTTCTTCAAGCTTGAAAATAAAATTAGTGTTAAAAATACACCCATCCATTAATAAAGCCCACTTTTTAAAAAGCCCAGCACTTTATTACAGAAAATAAAACTGTTATATTTTGCCCGTATTCTGATTAATCAGGAGTGAATCATCTCCTATACCGTAACTACAAATATTAAAGTCTAATGTAAAACCATAAGCATCAAACCTGGATAATAAAGTCCAGCTCCCAAAAGAGTATTATTTATTTCAACTGTGATCTAAGTAACCAGGAATAGCACTATACTTGCATACTTGGCAGAATGCTTTAGTTCCTTCTTCAAAGTCCAAGCGAAAAGATAAATAGGTAGACAGATAAACAGATGGTAGACACAGGCAGACAGACAGACGCACACACACAATGTACAATTCTGGGTTTCAGAGACAGTTACAAGTTTTAAAAATGTTAGTAAATTTGTTTCATATTGAAAAAAAAAAAGGACAGTAACTTTCAGCAAAACGATCATGAGAAAGTAAGAAAAATCTAGGAATTGTTCTAAGATATTATAAATTAACTTCTTCATGAGAAAAGAAAAAAGTTGCCATTAAGTTGATTCTGAGTCATGACAACCCAAGTGTTGCAGAGTAGAATTGCATCCTTAAGCTTTTCAACAGCTGTGACGTTTGGGAAAGACTGCCAAGCCTTTATTCTTGCACACCTCTGGATGAATTCAATCCACCAACCTTACAGTAAGTATCCAAGTTCTTAACCATCTGTGCCACCTAGGGAGAAGAGGCAGGGTATCCGGGGATTTCTGGGTGCTTATAAATGAAAACTCTTCCAGTTGTAAAAGCATTGTAAGATTGGACTGCTCATCTTCTAAATATATTTCTCCAGTTACCAAGTCCTATCATTTAAACATCTCTGGCTCTTGTCTTCCCTATTCCCAATGGTAAATCCTAGTTCAGGTTGTTTTTTGTTTTTTTTTCACTTATCCCCTTCCAGATAAGAAATAGAGTCAGAAAATCTGGTTCAAATCCCAATTTTACCCCTGTTCACAGCAACAGCCAAGTGAATTTGGGCAACCTGTTCAACCCATCTGAGTCTTACTTTCAAAATGAGTGGAACAGTACCTTCCAGAACCGCCCATTTCCAAGTCTCTTTCCTGTATCTTTCCAATTTCTTTTAAACCTACAAAACTCTCGGATCAAAGACCACTTTCTCTATAAAATCTAAGAAGCTCTTTATCTTCCAAATACCATAATCATGCCTAACCTCAGAGGTTTTTTTTCTTTTTACAATTCATTTGGCAGTAAAATTATGCACCATCTTGTGATCTCCCATCCACTGCTGATTCAAACTGCTCATTGAATTGTTTCTAAGTTTAGGTGGGCGGTCTGAGGACACGGGCTGTCTCTCACTCCTTCAACAAGCATTTCTTGAGAAACTACCCTAGGATAAGCACTGGGAATGCAAAGATTAAAACAAAGGTCCTTATTTCTGAGGAGCTCACGGTCCAGTGGAAAAGGGAGACATAAGTAATTACAGATGAGTGTGTACAGCTTTGAAAACCCTACAAAGCAGTTTTACTATGAGTCAGAATCAACTCGAGGGCAACTAACCACAACTTAAAGGCTTAATGGCAGAGGGGTGAAGAAGGCAGGAAAAGGAGAAGGCATTGCAGCCCTGAAGCAGTGCCTCATAAAGAGGAGATGCTTAATAACTATTATTTAACCACAAACCTCAATTGTACACATTAGTATAAACAAAACTCTCCACCGTGGAGTCTATTTCGACTCACAGCGACCCGTCCTTGGATTTCCCAGGGGGTTTCACTACGGAAGAAGATTGCCCAACCTTCCTTTCAAGGAGTGGCTGGCTGGTGGGTTTGAACCCCCAGCCTTCTGGTTAGCAGTCAAATGCCTTAGGCACTACGCCACCAGAGCTCACTGGAAAAAAAGAAAGCAATGACAAATAATGCAATGCGGTTGGAAACACAAATCACTAGTAACTGACTTTTAAAAGTACTGAATAATTTATTTGCTTCTAGCAGAAGACTTACCTTACTAACTTGCTTTGTGTAAATTTAGGAGAGAGGGTTGGGGGTAATAAGGGTTGCACTGTGCACAATGGAGCGGTGAAGGTTGGAGAAGTGGGACATGGGCCAGAAGCGAGGCTGGTGGGCCACTAAGACAGAAAAGAGGAAGACAAGAAGGACGGCCTGGGAGTGTGTGCACAGCCCCGGAGCCAGTAAGGGGACAGCCACCGTCTGAGCCCTCTAGGTTCAGGGCCCGGCACCTCTCCACTGGGGCAAAACGAGGGGAATGGAAGCGAGCATTTCCCAAGGTGAAGGAAACCGAGATGTAAAACTGCAATCCACCTGAGCCATGCAGAAAGATCAGAGAGGCGCTGTGCCTTCCAGCTGGCAACACGATACACCGCTGCAAGCGAACGGAACCCGACGCCATCCCAGCCACCACCAAGAGAGCCTCACTAGCCCCGCCTCTCCGCGGGCAAGCGCACGCAGCACGCAGACACCTCGCGGGGGCGTGCCTGGGAGTGCGCATGCGCGTCGCGACCATCGGGGTATAGCGTTGGAAATGATCTGAGTTCTTTGATTCAAGTCCTAATTGTTGCTCTAGTGAGGCTTTGTTTTTGCTGAGCATGAGCAACTGACAGCCTCGTAATGAATATATCTACAGGCCGGATATTGACTGTAGGATTTCAACTACAAACACGAAATTCAAAATTACAAATTTATTTCGTGTTCTATTGGTGGTATTATTATGTTTAAAGTCTAACAAATAAAAACGTATGTTACTTTCGGATTTGAGAATTGTACAGGCTATTTGCCAAACCTTTTGATGTACATGGTAAGATAGCCATATAATAATAGTTTTTCTTTGTGCAGTTTTAAACAATAGTTTACAGAGTAAATCTAATTTAATTTTTAAAATAATCCTGTTAGGTACAATTATTCACATTTTGACATTGATTTAAAAGTGACACACTGGAAATTTAGTCCAGATCCTCTGATCTCAGACTATGAAATTTTCCACAACGTCACAGCTACCCACCTTAACCACAAGTATGCTTTCACTACAAACAGGCTTTGGCCACAGCCCAGATCTTGGACAATGAACATCTCCAACCTGAATCCATTCACCAATAACTAGAGTAATTTATTCCTAAAGGTACAGTCTTGCAGCCATTATTTTTTAACATTTTCGTTTGGCAGTGGATACAGAATGTAATTACTTTGTATACAAAAGCCTAATCATCTAGAACTTTTAATAGAGTTGTCCCAATAGGTGACACTCCTCATGTAAAAAATCAACAATACAACTTAATAGAATTTGAAATGTTATTAAACATCAGCCTTCCATTCAATATTTTTGTTGTTATGTGCCCTCGAGTCAGACCTGACTCATAACGACCCCTCCTTGGGTTTCTGAGGCAGTATCACTACGGAAGTAGATTGCCCTATCTTCCTCCATTCAATATAGTCTGCATTGTATTTACTACATTACAATTCATTTTTTATTTGTTCAAGGTGATCACCATATATCACTACACCCTGCTGGATAACTGATTATTACAAGGGAGCAGTTGCTATTCTTTCACAATATTGTATCAATACAGTCTACGAGATTGGTCCTACAGGCCATTAGATAATCAGAATGTTAACTATGTGTCATTCCTCTAAAGCCTATGGATCGGTGGCTGAGAGTGCTGAATGATGTCATTGAGTAGGCAGGGAAGGTGGGCTGTGCTCTGACAACCAATACCCAAAACGTAGTCTGTTAGGCCTGCCATCCCCACCATGAACTCTGGGTTATTTTCAAGAGCCAGGTAAAAAGAGGGTGCTGCTACTAATAGACGTCTCATAGAGATATGCCAGGCAAGCCTTTGAGCTCTACTCTTAGAACTCCATTCACTACCAGAATGCCTTGTTGTTCACTATCCTACCCTTTTGAGACAGCAAAATAAATCAGAAAGATAATTATTTAGTAAGAGTTATCATTATTGTTGCTAATAAGAATAATAAGCAGCTGACCTTCATTAGAATTTATTAGGCGCCAAGCACTATCATAAGTTGTTGTTGTTGTTATGTGCCATCGAGTCAGCCCGACTCATAGCGACCCCTCCTTGGGTTTCCAAGGCAGTATCACTACGGAAGTAGGATTGCCCAACCTTCCTTCCGAGGAGTGGCTGGTGGGTTTGAACCGCCAGCCGTCTGGTTAGCAGGCAAGTGTCTTAGCCACTATGCTAACCAGAACGCCTTGCTGTTCACTATCCTACCCTTTTGAGACAGCAAAATAAATCAGAAAGATAATTATTTAATAAGGGTTATCATTACTGTTGCTAATAAGAATAATAAACAGCTGACCTTCATTAGAATTTATTAGGTGCCAAGCACTATCATAAGTAAATTCCCATTAAATTATGTGGATTTCTCTGTGCTATTACTATCTACCTTTACTAATGGGCCACCACTCCTCTGTCAGTTTATCTTACTGTGGTGACTTGAGTATTATTGTGAGAATGGAGGCTATGCGACTGTTTTTTCAAATACCAGCAGGGTCACACATGGTGGACAGGTTTGAGTGGAGCTTCCAGACTAAGACACACTTGGAAGAAAAAAGAGGCCATCCACTTATCAAAGTATTAGCCAGTGAAACCCTTATGAATAACAGTGAAACACTGTCTGATATATTACTAGAAAACTTTATGAATGGCCTTAAAACATTGTCTGATATACTGATGGAAGATGAGTCCCTCAGGTCGGAAGGCACTCAAAATATGACTGGGGAGAAGCTGCCTCCTCAAAGTAGACTTGACCTTAATGACGTGCATGGAATCAGGTTTTCAGGACCTCTATTTGCTGATGGGCACAACTCAAAACAGGAAGAAACAGCTTTAAACATCCATTAATAATCAGAACATGGAATGTACCAATTATGAATCTAGAAAATTAGAAGTTGTCAAATTTTAGATGGAATACATAAAGATTGAAATTGTAGGCATTAGGGAGCTGAAATAGACCGGTTTTGGCCATTTTGAATCAGACAACCATATGGTCTCCTATGCCAGGAATGACAAATTGAACAGGAATGGTGTGGAATTCATTGTCACAAATAAAATGTTTCAAGATCTATCCTGAAGTACAATGCTGTCAGTAATAGAATAATATCTATGTGCCTAAAAGGAAGAGCAGTTAATGCTATTATTCAAATTTATGAGCCAACCACCAAAGCCAACAATGAGGAAATTGAAGATTTTTACCAACTTCTGCAGTCTAAATTGACCAAACATGCAATCAAAATGTATTGATTATTACTGGTGACTGGAATGTGAAAGTTGGAAATGAAGAATCACAATAGTTGGAAAATATGGTCTTGGTGATAGAAATGACACCAGAGATCACATGATAGAATTTTGCAAGTCCAACAATTTATTTGTTGCAAATACCTATCTTCAACAACATAAGTGGTGGCTATACACATGGACATTGCCAGATGCAATACACAGGAATCAGATTGATTACATCTGTGGAAAGAAGAGAGGAGAAGCTCAGTATCTTTAGCCAACATGAGTGCAGGAGCTGATTGTGGAACAGACCATAGTTGCTCATATGCAAGTTCAAATTGAAGCTGTAGAAAATTAAAACAAGTCCATGAGAGCCAAAATATGACCTTGATTAAATCCCACCTGAATTTAGAGACCATCTGAAGATTTGATGCATTGAAAACCAATGACCGAAAATCAGAAAAATTGTGGAATGATATTAAGACTATCATCCATGAAAAAGCAAAAGGTCATTAGAAAGGCAGGAAAAAAAGAAAGATCAACTTGGATGTCAGAAGAGACTCTGAAACTTGCTTTTGAATGGAGAGTAGCTAAAACAAATGGAAGAAATGATAAGATAAAAGAGCTGAACAGAAGATTTCAAAGAGCAGCTTGAGAAGACAAAGTCAATTATTATAATGAAGTCTGCAAAGACCTGGAGTTAGAAAACCACAAGGGAAGAACTTGCTTGGCATAATTCAAGATGAAGCAATGGAAGAAAAAAATCAAGCTTCAAGTTCGAATATTGAAAGATTCTATGGGCAAAATATTGAATTATGCAGCAAACATCAAAAGGAAAAAGAAAGAATACACAGACACTGTAAAAGAAAGAATTGGTCAATGTTCATCTATTTCAGGAGGTGGCATATGACCAAGAACCAATGGTATTGAAGGAAGAAGTCAAAGTTGCACTGAAGGAACTGGCAAAAGACAAGTCTCCAGGAATTGACAGACTACCCACTGACATGTTTCACCAAATGGATGCCACGCTGGAAGCACTTATTCGTCTATGCCAAGAAATTTGGAAGACAGCTACCTGGCCAACTGACTGGAAGAGATCCGTATTTGTACCCATTCCAAAGAAAGGTGATCCAACAGAATGAGAAAATTATCGGACAATATCATTAATATCACAGGCAAATAAAATTTTGCTGAAGATACTTCAAAAATGATTGCAGCAGTATATTAACGGAACTTACAGAAATGCAAGCTGGATTCAGAAGAGGATGTGGAACAAGGCATATCATTGCTGATGTCAGATGGATCTTGGCTAAAAGCAAAGAACACCAGAAAGATGTTTATTTGTGTTTTATTGATTATGTAAAAGCATTTAACTATGTGGATCAAAACAAATTATGGATAACATTGAGTAGTATGGGAATTCTGGAACACTTAATTGTGCCCATAAGGAGCCTGTACATAGACCAGGAAGCTTTTGTTCATACAGACAAGGGGATACTGCATGGTTTAAAATCAGGAAGGGAGTGGGTCAGGGTGATATCACCATACTTATTTAACATATATGCTGAGCAAATAATCTGAGAAACTGGACTATATGAAGAGGAATACAGCATCAGGATTGGAAGAAGACTCATTAACGACCTGTGATATGCAGATGATATAATCTTTCTTGTTGAAAGTGAAGATAACTTGAAACACTTATTGATGGAGATTAAAGACTACAGTCTGTGGTATGAATTATACATCAATATAAAGAAAACAAAAATCCTCACAACTGGATTGATAAGCAGCATCACGATAAATGGAGAAAGGATTGAAGTTGTCAAAGATTTCGTATTTCTTGGTTCCACAATCAACATCAATGGAAGCAGCAGTCAAGAAATCAGATGACGTATTGCACTGGGCAAATCTGCTGCAAAAGACCTCTTTTGAGTGTTGAAGAGCAAAGATATCTCTTTGTAGATTAAGGTTCACCTAACCCAAGCCATGGTATTTTCTATAGCTTGACATGCATCTGAAAGCTGGACAGTGAATGAGAAAGACCAAAGAAGAGTGATGCTTTTGAATTGTGGTATTGGCGAAGAATACTGAAAGTACCATGGACTACCAGAAAAACGAACAGATCTGCCCTGGAAGAAGTGCAGCTGGAATGCTCCTTGAAGTGAGAATGGACAGACTTCATCTTACCTACTTTGGTCATGTTGTCAGAGGGGATCATTCCCTGGAGAAGGATATCATGCTTGATAAAGTGGACGGTCAGCAAAAGAGGAGA